ATGTAGCCTTTTGAACTCCTAACCTTAAAAAGTGTACTCTTGGGCATATTTGATAATTTTTTTTTTTTTAATGTAAATACCATATTGATTAGTTAACTTTGGAAAAGTTGTGAAAATTGTTGTGTATAGAAAATTTGGGGAAAATGATCTATTTGAGTAGCTTAGCATGAGATATAATTATGTTTGAAAGATGAGAAATATTAAGTTATGTTTGGTATTATTTTATTTTTTTTTGAAAATTGTAAATATAATGAATTTACTAATTTAGTGGATTAATTTTCTCTGGTTTACATTTTATACCCTTCATGATAAAAAATGTGTGTTATTGAGATTATATCATGACTTTTAATATACTAGGAAGGAAATGGTAATATTTGATCAGTATGAGATTTAGTGAAAATCATATTGGTTATTTTGGTTGAGCTGAAATAGAGTTAATTGAAAGTTTTGTGTGAGTCAAAATAATTGAGAAATTGATTGCTAGTTTTACTAGTTGGAGTATTTTAATGTGTTATTTTTATACCTTAAATTCATATATGAAATAGTTGAATTTTTTGGTGACTTTTAATGAGAAAAGGAAAGGAAATGATGATTTTAACTTGTTTGGAGTAAATGGATGTTTTGGATTAAAACATAATTGGAGTTATTTAATTTATTTCCTTGGATTAACTTGATGAGGTTAATGTTGATAATTGGAAAGTGAGTACTTGTGTTATATTTTATAATTATAGTCAAAAGAGGATTTTGATATAATTGACTAAGTGTTGGAAGTATTTGTTTATGCTTATTGAGAATTACAATCTAACTTGGAAGATCCGAGACTTTACTTGCATTAGAAAATGAGAATTTAATTCTATTGAATGTTTAGGATGGTGATGAGTTTTGGAAAGAATGTGATTACATTAAATTGATAAAGTATGTGAGTTAGAAATAATGAAATTAATGAAATTTTGATTCCTCTTTTACGTTGTATGTTATTGATATTGATGAACCTATTGCTTAGAGGTTTTGTTGTTGACAACCGGTGGACGGTTGCATTGTTGGTGGTAAAATGATATGGATTTAGGTTGAACAAAAAACCCTACGTATAATGTAGTTGTTTTTATATTGGAAATGAAATGGATATGGTATGTATATTGTGATTGGTTGATATGAGTGCTATATAGAGGTCCCAAGTTCTTTCTAGTTAGCACCAGGTAAAGTGGTTTGTGTTTCTAATGAGAGGTACCATTTCCTTCCAGTTAGCGCCTAGTAAAGTGGGGTGCGCTCCTAATGAAAGGTACCAAATTCCTTCTAGCTAGCGCCTGGCAAAATGGCTATGCTTCGAATGATAGGTTCCAAGTTCTCTCCAGCTAGCGTCTGGTAAAGTGGATGGTTGTGGCTTGACGAAGCTGGATCGCATTATGTTATGTGATAGTAGGTGATGATGTTATGGTAGATGATTACAGTGAGTAATTGAAGTTGTTTAATTATTTAAGTTAACCGGTGTATGTTAATTAAATAATTTGGACGTAAGGTCCTATTGGCAGTCGCTGAGCTTAACAACTGTGGATCTATTTAAGTTAATGAGATATGAGTTATTTAAATGAGATATGAGTATGCTTGTTGATAGCTTTTTAATTGTGGATTTATTTAAGTTAATCGGAATGAGTTAATTAAATAAACGGATTGAAATTGAGGCCTTGCTAATAGTCATCCTAACTTGTGGATTCATTTAACTAGTATGAGTCATTAAAATAAAATGTACTTGATACTTTGTTGGAGGCCATTATGAATTGCTTAACTATTTAATTTAACTGGGATGTGTTAGTTGAATAGATTAAAAAGGATATTCTGTTAACATTTGGAGCATGTTTATTTATTTAAGTTAATTAGTTGGGGTTAATTAAATGAATTGGATTTAAGAGATTATGTAATAAATGCATAAGATTTTGGCATGATATGATTTTTATGTATATGTATAAGTGTCATTGTACCCACATATCTTTTAATGTTATAATATGAGATTGCTTGGTGAGCTAGTAGTTTGCTCACCCCCTACCTGTACATGTGAACAAGGAATGTTTTCGGACTTAAGGATCACATAACAGGTTTACCTTGACGTAGTTATAAAGTGGTGATGAGTCGTAGTGCATTTTATTTGTTTTCTTTGGCTAAATATTATACTTTGTAAAGAGCCACGCCCTCTTATTTATTGTAAGCCTATGAGGCATTCCATTTGTAATAAATGTTATATTAAATGTAATATGCAAAGAGTGGGTTATAGTTTCATCCATGGTATTTTCTTATATTGACTTGTGAAAAGTAAAGAAAATGGTTAATAGAAAGGATTTTCGATAATTAATTGAATGAGAATGAGAGTTCTTTCAAAAACCTCACACTTAGGTTAATTAGTTTTCGCCTAATTAATCTTTGAAAATTGGGGCGTGATAGATACAAATTTTATAAAATAAAAAATTATGTGAAGTAAGATGATAGCATCAAGATGACAAGCTGAGCGATGTGATTTTTTTCCCTAAAAAATTCTTTTGGAGTGGTGCAACTACCAAAATTGATCCAGAATGCTCATTTGATCACCATGAAGAGTCTTAGATTATTAATCTCTCATTTTAGTTTGAATTGTCTTGCTAATGTATAATGAATTGTGGTGTTTTGTGTACATGTGGATTGATAGTTTTTGGATTTTGTAATGGACAAGAAGGATTATGGTGGGCGGTGGAGATCTTAGGGGATGTTTGTCAACTTGCAATATATCAGTTCTAGTTAATGGTAAACCAGGGAATTGCTTCAGGGCTTCGTGAGGGTTACAACAAGGGGATCCACTATCTCATTTTCTTTTTATTTTGGTGGCTAACGTATTAGAAAGGATGGTTGATAGAGCTAGAGAAGGTCTTTTCGCGGGATTGGAGGTGGGGAGGGATAGAGTTAGTGTGACACATTTACAATATGTGGATGATGCCATATTTTTCTCTTCAAGGGATGAAAGTCAGATAGTTAATCTTTATTCGATTCTGAGACTTTTTGGGGTAATCTCAGGGATTAAGGTTAATCTAGAGAAAAGTAGTGTGGTGGGCATTTTCAGAATAGGGCGGCACTTTTAGGATGTAGCATAGAGTCACTTCCGTTTAAGTATTTGGGTCTTCCATTGGGGGGTAATCCTAGAAGTGAAGCTTTTTGGAATCCAGTTGTGGAAAAAATTGGCAAGAGGTTGAAACGGTGGAGTAAGGCTGTATTGTCATGTGGGGGTAGATACACTTTGGTTAAGACTGTTTTGAGTGGTATTCCTATTTATTTCTTATATTTGTTCAACATTCCGGTTAAGGTGGCAAGGTCACTAGAAAAGTTGATAAGGGATTTTCTTTAGGAGGGTAAGGATGAGGAAAAGAAGGATCACCTGGTGAATTAGGGTTTAGTTTCGTTACCTAAGGAGAAGGGGGGTTTGGTTATTGGTAACATTTTGGCTAGGAACATGGCCCTTCTTGGCAAGTGGTTATAGAGATTTCCACCGAAGAGTGATTCACTATGACATTCGGTTATTAGAAGCAAGTATGGGACTCAAAACAATAGTAGGGATTCGCAGGTAGTTTTGAGGGGTAACTGTCCTGCTCCTTGGAAATCAATTTCTCAAATAAACACATGTTGGTCTCGTCATCTTTCTGTATGGGTGGGCAATGGGGAACATGTTTGATTATGGGAGGATGTTTAAATGGATCAATCTTCATTTGCTTCTGATTTTCCACATCTATATAGAGTGGCTCAATTTCATAATTCTTCTATTGCTTCCATGGCTGGTTCACTTTTGGCTCCAATTTCCTAGAATTTTGATTTTTCTAAGAATCGTAATGATAGGGAGGCTTCACAGTTGATTTCTTTGTTGTCTAAAATTAATCATTTTTCTTTGCTCCTATTTTGGAGGACAATAGGGTTTGGGCTCTTCATTTATCGGGATATTTTCTTATAAGTCTTTTTTTGATAAAATCATCGATACTCCTCATGTTCCTTAGGGGTTGTTTGGGATATTCTAAATAAGTGCACTTTTTGACTTTTTGGACTAAAAAGTTGAGGAAAAAAATATGATTGTTTGGATTAACTTTTTGACTTGTTATGGAAAAATGTGTATTAAAAAATTGTATAAATTAGTATGTAGGGGAAAATTAGGACTGGGAGTTGTGCAGCCGTACTTTTTGACTTCTGGTGAATAGTGATAACTTTTTGACTTTTTGAGTAACTTTTTGAGTAACTTTTTGGGCACATGCCAAACTTGGCCTTAGTTCCTTTTTGCAAAAGAATTTGGAAGGCTTGTGCTTCTCTAAAGGTGAAGGTGTTCGTGTGGGCCTTGGTTCATGAAGGCATTTTGACAAATGATGCATTGCAGAAACGGATATCTAATAGCTTTCTAAATCCTCAATGGTGCATTTTGTGTTGTAAGAATGGGGAATCCGTGGATCATATATTTGTGCATTGCCCAATTGTTTTGAATTTATGGCACATTGTTTTTTTTAGGGAATGTTATGTGGGTAGCCCCAAAAGGGAGTGCGCACATGCTTCTAGTTTACTTTTGTGCATTCAGAGGATCGAAGAAAGCCAAAATGCTATGGTCTTGTGCCATCTTTGCCACTTTTTGGGTTCTATGGATGGAAAGAAATGAGAGGTTGTCTGAAGATAAGTTCTAGGAGGTGGACTCTTTGTGGGATAATGTTTACCACTTAACTTCTTTTTGGGTTTAATTCTCTATTTAAGAGGGTCCTACTTTTTTTTGTTAGTTAGAGATTGATTGGCGGTGGTGTATGATATGTAGGTTTTTGCTTGAGATTATCTTGTTAGGGTTTTGCTCTTAGTATTCTCATTTTACTTTTGTAAGAGGATGTCTCATCCTCGCTTCCTTTTTTTGATTTATCAATAAAGTCCTTTGTTGTTGATTAAAAAATAAATAAAAAATGAATCATTCAATGTTGGAATCTAAACTGTATTTTTTATTTTTTTTTTCCTGTGAATGTCAGATCTGTGTAGTCTGTAAGCAAATTCATGGTTCCTGCACACGGTGTTGCAAGTGTTCCACTTATTACCATGCTGTGTGTGCATCAAGGGCTGGGTATCGTATGGAGGTGAGTTGGTAATGTATATTTACATTTATGTCTATATATGTATGGGTTGTTTTTTCAGAAAAAACTCCGCCACGCTTTCCATACTGGTATGTTCACTTGTTTATTGATATTTTTGGAAACTAGCAGTATCATCTGCCTCTCTTTGTTATATTGCGGTATTTTCTGCTTAGTCTTTTATTCTGCCCTTCTCTCCAACCTAGAATTCTAATGTGGGCTCATGTTTGTACTAGTAATTTGCAACTGACTCGTGTTTTTTAGAAGTTTTTTTTTTTACTTAATGCTAACTTAGTAAGGGTTCTTGAACATGGCTTGGTTTCACACCTTTTCTTGCATATGGGCTACTTCTATGCTATATGTGAGGCATGAGAAACTGTCCAATTTCTCTCAAGTGAGAAGTGGATGGTTTGGGGGCAGCAAAAGCTATTTGAAAATTTATTTTGTCACAAATATTTCTTCAAGCTGGTCTCTTTTTCTAACAAAGAAAGAAAGCGATTTTAATTGAAATTTATAGTTTCTTAAGAGTTTCCTGCGAGTTTTCCACCATGTTGCATTTTAATGTCAATATAGAGGGTCAATCTTAGATAATGAAGCTTTTCACAATACCAATGATGGGATTGACTGTTGCCGTCAAGTTTTGAAGCTTGGTCATAACAGGTTTTCTGCATTTGATGTCTGTCTTTTCTACTTCTGGACATGACCAGCAAGACAACTCTCCTTTTAATAATTTTAGCATGCCAAAGACTTGTTTGTAAAGAATGTCTCTTCATATTCGGAACTTCACAGATTTGTTACTTTAACAATTTGTAGAAGAACTTCGTATTTGTGCATTCACACAATATTTTAATTATTACTTTAATCGATTATGTCATAGCTCTTGATGCATTAATGTTGAGTATTGCACATGCACATGCTCACAGATGCATTTGAGAAAATATATTTAATGACACAAACAGAGAAAATGTTGTGTTGCCAAGATTTGATCTTTGATTTGGTCTTTCCAAGCAACTGTCTTATGGAAAAATGCAACATGTCATGTGAATGACAGTAAATATAGTCTGCAAGCCTGGCACTGGGCACAAACAATTGAGTTTCTTTTATTTTATTATGACCCGAATTTTTGTCTTGTCTTGTATACCTCTATGTTTTGGTTTACGTGAACCTGATGCAATTGCCTGCATTTTGTTTTGCTCCACTATGTCAATTCTCTGCTAATTGCTGAATGCTTCTTGAATTGCAGTTGCATTGCTTGGAAAAAAATGGGAAACAAATTACAAAAATGGTTTCGTATTGTGCTTATCACAGGTGAAAATCTCTCTCTCTCTCTCTCTCACACATTCTTTTGCTGACACAGTTCTATTAGACTGACGCTCTTTTGATAGGGTTCAAGTGCATTTTTAACCCTACCTAGCATCTCTCACAACCAATTATGTGTGCCATCTATCTCTTTGTATTAGTAATGCCAGAGATTAAGTCTGTTTCAAGTGACATCTTCTAACACCACCTGCATTGGCAGAACCTGCATTACATAACGGCCTTTATAATTGTCTAGGACGCACGGATACGGGTACAAATACGGATATAGATATGGATACCAGATCTGGCGATAGCCAAAATTTGAAAAAGTAGGATACGGGTACGGCGGGGATACATTCGTAAAAAAAATATATTTTTTTACAATTTTAATAATGTAATATGCATGAAAATAAAACCTAGAGCAAATTAATAAATTAAGAGATGGATTCCTATTAAATAAAGAAATAGTAACATTAAAGTTCCTAAAATTATAAATTTGGTAAAAAAATACTTACATTAAAACAGTGTAGGAAAAAAAAAGTGGAAAAAAGCTAAATAAAAAAAAAAAAAAAAAGTGGAAAAAAAATTAAATAAAGTAGCCTAATAGATAAAGGAAAAAGAAAAAAGTAAAAATAAAAAAAGAAGAAGAACGAGAGTAGAGAGTATTGACTATTGAAAAAATGTCAATATAAAATAATAAAAAAATTGGAAATTTTTTTTTATACTATTTGGCGTATTAAAATATAAAAAATAAAAATTAGAAAAAAAAATTGAATACTTTTTTGGTGTATCCTTAGAAAAAAAAATTGAATACTTTTTTGGTGTATCCCTCATGTATCTTGCCATATCCTTCAGGTGTCCTTTGCGTATCCCTCTCGTATCCGAAATTAAAAAAATCAAAAAAAATAAAAATCAGATACTTATTTGCCGTATCTGATACATTTTCCGCCGTATCGGACGCATATCCATATCCAATACTCGTACAGCACCTTTTTTGGAGTATCCGTGTTTCATAGATAATTGTTTTTAAATTTGTGTTTTGTGTTCCTAGGTTCTTTATTTATTAGTTTATTTGCATTTTTGTTGTTGTGTATAGGGTTCCAAATCCAGATACCGTTCTAATCATACAGACTCCTCTGGGGGTTTTTTCTACCAAAAACCTTCTCCAAGACAAAAAAGGCAGTGGTTCAAGGCTAATTTCATCTAACAGATTGAAACTTAAAGAAGCGCCAACAATAGAGATCAATGAGATTGAGCCATTTTCTGCTGCAAGATGTCGGACCTTCAAACGATTGAATAGTAAGGTACCTTGAAAATAATATATAATATATTTTTGACATTTTCTCAATTCACCTGAATATGCATTGGACTGCTTTGTGGGCTACATACTTTAGAAAGTGGGGTAGGATGCTCACCAAGTGTGGTAATTGTACCCGGATTTTGCCCCAATATTTTTTGGGGAAAATTCCCAATGAGTCCTACTTTTCCCTTAAATTTCTAATCAAGTCCTATTAACACTATAGTGAGAGATTTCATTCATGTGTTAATAGGACTCAATGTGAATTTTATTTACAAAAAAGGGAAATTTTGGAATTTTCCCTATTTTTTTCTGATTTTGCTTTCTGTCATCTTTGTTCCTCTAGGTCAAATAGTTTTCTCATTTCGTGTTTTGGGCTGAGTAGGTGTTCTTTTTCAGAAAGAAAAACTCTTTTGTCCTTTCTCAAAATGACTTGTTCATGTCCTTTCCCAAGAACCATTTTTGCTTAAATTATGCACTAGTTTTTATTCAGCATCTATCTTCCTTTTTATTTTACTTCCATTTAATTTTTCGTATCTTTAGCATTCTATCTTGCAATGTATTGTGAAATTGTGCGCAACACATTGAATGATCTACCATCTTTGAACTGCTTAAAAGATTGGACTCCTTTTTAATTATGTTTATTTTGTTACTGTGCTGATCTGGTTTTATACTCCGCCACATGCATATGGTGCATGCTGATGTGATATCACTTCCTTTGTGATGTTATAATTAGCCGAATTCTTATTTTGCAATTATAGCTAAAAATTAAGCTACTGGTTTTCCTTTTCAACATTTTAATTTGATAACTATAGTTATCTTCACTAGATAAAGATCCTTTGCTGGTTTTTATGCTGTTAATTAATTACTTTTCTCCCCAATAGACTAAACTGTAGTTATTCTTTTTTTTAAAATTTATTGACATCACTATTTCATTGGTTCCTTGTTATAATTACGTGCGCACTGTGCCCATTCTTATTCTTTTCTTTTTCTGCTTGGTAGAGGACAGGAGAACAGGCCGTTGCTCATCATGTGATGAGACCTTGCCATCACTCTTTAAGTGCAATGCAAATACTGAACACTTTCAGAGTAAGTGTGCTTTTATGGTTTTGTTCTCATCAGGTTTGATGAGGGCTCTGAAACTAATAAGTAGAACTAATATACATGCTTTTTCCTTTAAACAGAAAATAGATGAGCCTAGATCCTTTTCTACTTTCAGGGAACGGCTGCACCACTTACAGGCAATTTTCAACATCATTGTCGTCTTCTTTCTTTCTTTCTTTCTTTCTTTCTTTCTTTCCCTTTGTTGTTTTCAGGGTTGGGCAATAAGGCAGCTTGAGTCCCAATGTTAAAGTTGAGAGATCAACTGTATTCCACCTGTCCTTAGAGGCTGGTGGTTACAATTTGCAGTCCTTTTCTTGAATCTTGGTCATTTCCCAAATTGACTAATATATCACTTCTTTTGTGTTTTTGTTTTTGAGTCCAGAAAACAGAGAATGATCGGGTTTGCTTTGGGAAATCTGGAATTCATGGATGGGGCCTCTTTGCACGTCGGAACATCCAAGAAGGAGATATGGTATGTATTTGCTTGTATATGTTTTTCATGTTTTTACTCATATTTGGTCTTTTAGTTTTTAAAAATGTGGAAAATATCCTAAGGCATTGCTATGCATGGTGATGTGGAACGTACGGGAACCAATTTGGCATGGAAATCTTAATTACAATCATGTAATTTATGTCTTTGATATTTTTATTTTTTATTGTATTTAATTATAGCTTAATTATGATTATCTTATTAATATTTAGTTTTTTATTTTCATAGTTTACTATTTCTTAACAGCCATTCTACATCACATTGACTTCTCAAATGATCAATAACAGTTAGGTTGAGTTTGTGCTTGGTATTCTTTTAGACATGGAACCTCTGACCAGTGTGTTCTATACTATACTTCTATTTCTATATGGTCTGTGAAGGCATAATGCCATGCTCTAGATTTGGATGATTGTAAAGTGAAGTTGTCAGTGGAAATGGTAGTAAGAGAATGAGGCAACATCGTCTTGTGAAATCTAAAACTGGTCCTACATTTTTTTTTGGCTGGGAAAAGAACTGTAGAATCATTTCAAATGTGAGATAAGATTCAGTGGATTTTTATTTTTATACCAATGGAGCATCTGAACACTTCCTTAGCATATGCTTTAAATGTTTATCACAAACTCTAGTTTGTACAAAGTTTGCCATATGTATCCGTATGCATCTTACACTGCATGTTTCTCTCTGTGAGCAGGTTTTAGTTAGTTTGTACATAGGTACTGGGTTATAGTGTTTGGACCTTAAATATTTACAGAGTGTTTGGATCATGGATTTGGGTAGGAAATTCGGAAAGTGAAAGGGAAATGGAGAAAAAATTAGCTTATATTTTATTCATATTTGTCTCACCTTTTCCCTTTTTCTTTCCAAAGTCAAGATGCAAACACACAGCCTTAGTGTTTGGTTTTCGGAGTTAAAATACAAAATGTTCACAGTAACATGCCTGTGTTTCTTCCAGGTTCTTGAATATCGGGGTGAACAGGTTAGGCGTAGTATTGCTGATTTGAGGGAAGCTCGCTACCGAGTGGAAGGCAAAGATTGCTATGTAAGTCAATTGGCTTGGGAAATCTGCTTTCTTCTTTTTCTTCCACCCACCCTCTGTTCTCATTTAAGTGGTGAAATTTTAATTTGCAGCTGTTTAAGATCAGTGAAGAAGTTGTTGTGGATGCCACAGATAAGGGAAACATTGCACGTTTAATCAACCATTCGGTAAGTTATTCTAATTGAGATTTAGATTGCATTAGGGATTTAGTTTGTGTTTGGATTTATGAATTTGAAATGAAATTATTTGAGACTTGTTGAATATAGAAATTAGAGTATATAAAATCTTTTTATTTTTTATATTATGTCTATAATCTGTGATTGTATCATTCACTGATTTAGTATTGTTTCCCTATTTGTATTGTTTCCTAAATTGTATCATGAATCTATTATATATACATGGCCTCTCCTCATTCATGTATAAGCCAAATAATTCTTTTCATTCTTTTTGGTATCAATGCTAGTAATTTTGCTTCACCGGCGGGCGGCAGCTTTGTCTAAGCCGTCCGCCAGACCTCAACCCATTCCATTGCCATATTTTCTTTTAGTATCACTTTGTGGTGATCTCTTCCTCTATCCATTAGTTTATTCATATCCCAAATATCTTTATCATATTTTTTTTTACTCGCAATCCATTTTTTGTGTTTCTGTTCCACTTTGTCTCTTTCTCTATTCCAACCTCAAATAGGTCTCTATCTGCAACCTATTTGAGTTTTTTTTTTCTTTTTTTTTTTTAGGGGGGGAGGTGGTATTATATCTATATTATGGTGAGCATGATGATATACCATGTAAACCATCTAAGCTGGCTCATCTAGAGCACAACCTAAGTCGCCAAGCCTAAGTCATCCCCTCTGGCGCACAATCCAAATCGCGCCCTTGGCGCACCACCTAAGCTACCCCCCTTGGCGCACTTTCTAATAAGCCACCCCTTGGCGCACTCAATCATTTGTTGCCATCATCATTCAGCACCACGTCATAAGTTATGTGTACACCACGCTTGCTGGTTCAACATCCAGTTCTCTACATCGGTCCGGCATGACTCCTTTAAACTGTCGCAACACTGATTTTGGTTAGTCTCTACAACAGTTCGACATGACCCCTTAAACTGTTCTGACATTGATTCTAGTTAGTTCCTACAACGGTCCAACATGACCTCGTAAACTGTCCCAACATTGATTCCGATTAGTTCCTACAACAGTTCAGCATGACCTTAAACTGTCTCCCGGCATTAGCTCCGGCCTTTGATGCCAACAAGGGTCTTGTTGATTGCCGACCAGGGTGTTTCTTGGCCATAGATGCTCTGGTGGCTCTTCTAAGGCAGTTCAGTCTCTGTTTTTTTCCCCTTCTAGGGTGTGGTACTGATGTATTAAGCACTTTTTGGCCTTTTTTATTTAGTGGACTACCAGATTTGTTCAGTAACATTTATTTGGACTAGCTATTGAGGTTTTTTTTGCTTCTTCTAGTCATCCATTGGCAAGCTGCGATTGTCGAATATCTTCACACCAGCTTGAGGGAGAGTGTTGAATATAGAAATTAAAGTACATAAAATCTTTTTATTTTTAGTATTATGTATATAATCTGTGATTATGTCAATCACTGATTTAATATTGTCACAGATTTAATATTGTTTCCTTATTTATATCGTTTCCTAAATTGTACTATGAATCGATTAGATATACATGGCCTCTACTCATTCATGTGTAAGCCAAATAATTCTTTTCATTCTTTTAGACTAATCATTCCAGGAGAATAGCCCAAATTTAGATATGCTAGCTTAGATATGGATTTCAAGATTGAATTTGAGAATCTTACCATGATGGATTTGAAACAATAATATAAAGAGTTATAAGCAGTCGTTTACACTTTTGATTATTAGATATGGATTTCAAGATTGAATTTTAGAATTTTACACTAAGGATTATGGTTACACAAGATATAATGATAAAATGCTTCTGTACTTCCCATCCCCCAATTGGAAATGATAGGACAGATTAAATTTTAGATAATGTACTTCTTAATGTCTCAGAGATATATTTCTAAGCCATTTTAATCATGTGTTTCCTATGTCTTGTGAGAAACCTTGTGCACCATCTCCTCTTACTAGACTTTCTATTCTCTATTGCTGGCAGTGTATGCCCAACTGCTATGCAAGGATCATGAGTGTGGGTCATGATGAGAGTAGGATCGTGCTTATTGCCAAGACTAACGTGCCTGCTGGTGATGAGTTAACGTCTCTCTCTCTCTCTCTCTCTCTCTCTCAGAGCTTTGTTTGATGTTTGTTCATTTGAGTTTGTGTATATGCTTTTCATAATTCATTTTGTTGGTTGTGCACATGACAGGTACGATTACTTATTTGATACTGACGAGTGTGACGAATTCAAAGTCCCTTGCTTGTGTAAAGCTCCAAACTGCAGGAAGTTCATGAATTAGGTTACAACAACAGAGTATAGACATTGTTTCTCCGGAAGAAGCACTAACCCAACCACCCTCTACTGGGACCTCACAGATCAGTTACTAAATTTGTAATTTTTTTTTTCTGTTTAAAGTAATAATTTATGTATTTTAATTTTTTGTTCCAATTTTTTGTTTTGATAAATTTTCAAGCTTAATAAGAGCTATTGATTTCCCCAGCTGTTTGGCTTGAGTCATTCTTGTGTAAATTGTTTGGTGGATATACATATTTTTTTTCTCTTAATGTTGATCCAGATTTCACCTCTACCATTTGGCAACGTTTACAGTTTACTGTTTTTTATTTACAAAAAACATTAAACATGTTTATGCCTATTTTGGGTAAAAATGAAAATAAAAAATATGTTTGGTATACAAGTATTTTAGAATTTTATTTTGAAAATAAGTGAAAATGTGAGACTATGAGAGGTGGTTGCTGACTGTTAAAGATTGTGGCCAAAGGTGGTTGGCAGCTATGGGAGGTAGTAGTTGAAGGTGGTTGGTGGCCATTCAAGGTAGTGGTTGAAGGTGGTTGCCATCTATGAGAGATAATTAGCAGTGACTAGAGGTGGTTGTTGTTCATGGGAAGTGAGAGCCAAAACTGATTGTCAATAGTTGGAGATGTGGCCGGTTGACCATTCAAAGTGGTAGTTTTCAAGATAAGGTGGTGGCCAATGGTGGTTACCGTCTGAGATGATTGGTGGCGATGGCGAGTGGTTAACAGTTGAGGGAAGTGGTGGCTGAAAATGGTTGGCAGAGGAAGTCATTGGCAACGATGGTTGATAGTGATGAGTAAGGATGGCAATGGAATGAGTTTGGAGCAAGTTTGTCATCATTCAACATTGCCTGTTAACTTTGTAATTTTAAAGATAGAAAAATTAGTAAAAATTAAAGGTAATATTATATTGAGTGCTGCTATTAACATACACCTTTATTTTTTGGATTTCCCATTTCTTTGAACCCTCACCTTAAATTCTAAATTTTAGTAGTATTTTTTTTAACACCCCACTTAATACCAAATTTATCCTTATTAATAATATCACTACCCAAGTTATGCACATCCTCTCCGTCAACAATAAACGACAGTCTATTTCCTTGTCTAACAAACTAAAGAACGATAATTCCTCTTCCTTTCCTAATCAATTCGAAACCCTAAACCCCAATTCATACTCTTCCAATTTTGATAGAAACTAAATCGAAGTTCATACTCCTCCGGCTTGTCTGAATCTAAGAACACCATTGCATGTCTTCTTCAAACTCATTTGAATTTGAGAACCGAGTCTCAACGAAAACCTTAACAATTGGCAAACCAATACTGAACAAAAAAATTTTGTTCGGCACTACGTTGTCGAACTAAATTGTAATGGCTTGGGCCGAGACCCAAACCCTATTCCTTTTCGTATAAAGATATTGTACCAAAAAGGGTTGCTATTGAAAATTCGAATTAACTTAAAATTTTATAAGTGTGAAAATTGGATTTTTCAGAACTTAAGATTTTGAAAATAGTTTATGGCAGTAATTGTTTCTTATATTTTAAATAGTCTAAATTGATTTTATGAAATTTTTCTGCGAAGTATTAACCCCCTTACTTCAACGTAAAACTTAGAAATTTCAGTAGGAAAATTACTTTTATACTAAAACAGGAGGGACCACTTTTTGATTTAATTGGATTTTAATTTTTTTTAATATATTTATTTGAATCCAAATGGGGAGTATTTCCTTATTTAAATTGTAAACTTAAGTAAATGAAATATAAATGTAAGAGGCTAAAAGAAAACATTTAAATAAAGTTGATGTGCTGGGAATGTCGTAGAGTATGTGCCTGTGTGATTAGCTGTGTCGTGAGTGACCGCTCAAGCGGTGGGTTTATCGCTCGAGCGGTGAAGAGTGTGCATCCTATTGTTTTGTAGACTAAAATACTGAGAAGTTGAGTTCACCGCTCGAGTGGTGAAAAGACCGCTCGGTCGGTCTACGCGAATTAGCATACTTAAAAACTGACTTTTGCTCATTTTTTTCCCACTTTTTCATATCCTCTCTCTCTCTCTACAAATCCATTTCCAAAACCCTAGCCCCAAAAATACTTGATTCCTCTAATTTCTATTAAGAATCCACCTTAGATCTTTTAAGAGAGTTGAAGAACAAGCCTTGATGAAGATTTCCACCGATTGATTCATGATTTTGTTGGAGCTTCAAGTTGGGTTTTCATTTTTTCATCATCACCTTTGAGGTAGGAATACTTTTAACCTTGTATACCTATATTATGATTTGATTATGTGTTAGTTTTCATGATATATGTATGGTATGAGATAGATGATTTGATTTAATGAGTATTTATGGAAAATGGAGGTTTTGCTTCAATAATTTTGTAATGTTTGAATATTCTTAAATAAAATCAACTTTGATTCCATGATTCTTGGACTGATAGAGACTATGGAAAAAAGCCATAAATTCTACAAAACCCTAGCTAAGAATTTTGGTGTTTAAGAGATAATTGAAAATAAATTGATGTTGTGTGGATGTGTTAAAACATCTTGTAATGAGGTAAATTTAGGAGTTTGTTGAAATGATATATAGTGTGATGTGTTTGGTACCCGCGCGGGGAAATTAGTTGCCCATGTGCCCGACCATGTGAGGACAACAAATGTGGGGAATGTTTGAGGTGTCCACATACCTGATCGTGTAAGGTGCCCATTGGCCCATCTATGTGAGGACAAAAAATGTGGGATTGAACCATAAATGTGAAAAGTGTGAGGTGCTCACTGATCCATCCATGTGAGGACGAAGAATGTGGGATTGTTTGGAAAGTTTTATATTCTTCTACACATGTATATACATACTCATGTGGATTTGTTTTGAATAAAAATCTTGGAGCAAAGTATTTTGGGTTACACATAATTATATCAAATGTTTATATACCTTGTTAAATGTATTCTCTACTAGGCACTAGTTCATTCCTATCATAACAAACATTTCAAGTTATGATGATGTGCCTTCACTTAATTAGGAATTGATGGAAATATTGATGGAGCACGAAAGCTTATTTGAATATTTTATGTGGTCACAAACATCGGGCTTATGTGTTTGGGATGGAAATTTTACTTATGTGTGTAATCAAGGCCCTAGCCTTGAAAAGTGTAAGTCGTCTTTGGGTATTTTGTCGTATCTCTTTTATTTCTTGAACTATAATGTAAGATTATTGAGATTGCTAATGTTCTAAAGTGAAATGTAACTTTTATGAGAAAGATAAACACTGGACTTGTGTAATGGTTGTGCTCTAAGTTATTTTCTATAATCTTCTTTATATTTTAGAATTTGAGATTGATAAAGGTTCGGTAATTATAAAATGGATTAAACGATCGGGTGTTATAGAATTCAGCACTGTGTTACAGAACAAAAACTAATAGTTGGCAAACCAGTATTGAACAACTTCAAACAACAAAACAATAATCAAAAACAACAAAGAATCATTAATGCAAGGATTGAAAGATTGATAAACTTACAAATATAACGTCAACCTCGTCCGATTTGTTGTCATCGTCCTCTATTGCTCAACTCATCTAAATTGTTGATTTCTTATATCAACAAATGGTGACAATTATTTGAACCAACGACCTCAGCCCACAATGATAATGATTTCTGATTAGGGTTTAGGGTGGTGATGAGAAAATGAATATTGTTTAGGGTTTAGGTTTCCTACGCCGCTGTCAAATGGTTTGGTGGGGGTGGGGGTAGGGGTGGAGGTGGGTGTATGATGTTGTAAAGCGTAATTCTAATTGTTTTCATTTGGTTGGTGGGTGTTCCATTGAGGTTGTCATTTATTGTAATTTTACTTCAAGTTATAATTGTAATAAAAAAAATTAAAATTGGGGGAGGGGGTCTAAAGAATAAAGGTAAGTGTTAATAACAGTACTTATTATTATATTATAGATAGTAATTTATAATTAATGAGAGTTAAAAGATGTAACATGATAAATAAATTAGTGAAAATGAATATTAAGTATAATATTTTAATATGTTAGTTTTATTATATTGAAAAAATTAAATTATATACATATTATATATATATATATATATAAATTTAATAAATAAAATCGAGGTAGATTAGAGAGGGGGAATGGGTTGGTTAGCAGGAGAGAGAAGAAATGAAAAAAAAAATAAATAAATAAATAAACAAAAAGTGAAACCAACTTTTTTATATATACAAAATTAAAATTTTGAAAACTGTTTATAATTTTTTGAAATGGGAAATAGAAACCAAACGAGTTTTTGTTTACAGTTTTCAAAAATTTTATAAATATAAATAGAAAATTATAAATATAAACATTACCAAACATATTATTTTTTAAAAAAATTTAAACTAAACAATTGTATTAGTTTTTTTTTTAAATACAAACTTCATTTAGAAAAAAATAATAATAATTGAATTAAAAAGAAAAAAGAAAAAAGGATTGGTGTCTTGTGAGTCCCATCTCCATTTTTAGTAGAAGCGTATGCAGTGTGGTATAATTTGAGGGTAAAATTATAAATTAATTTGCGAATGGCAGAATAATAAATAATCAAATTGTGGTTTGAGTGGTTTCAATTGTTAGTTGATTAAAGAATAATCTTAAGCAATTATCATTCATTTGCATAATATAAAACACTAATTTACACAATATTTTTCATATATATAAAACTAACTAATTTTACATAATATTTTGTATAGATATAACACTAATTTGTAATAAATTTTATATCTTAAATCTATCCCACATATTCTTACTTTGATAATTTATTAGACGTATATATATATATATATATATTAACTATTGTCAAATAGGGCAGTTTCAAAGACTAATTATGAATTTCAAACCATGGATTAAACTAACCTGCGATTAACAGGTGAATCAACATGAATTGAGCAATTTTAACGGATTATACGATATTTTGCACAATTTTAATTTGGAGTATGATATGAGAGTATGGGTCTATGGTAAAATAATCGGGAGCACTAGCATTAGTGCAAAATAAAATGTTTGAGACCTACAAAAAATTCCTATAATTTGACCCACACTAAGGTAATATGATAGGTATCAACTTTTTGATTAGTTTCACACCCAATTGTCACATCATTGTGGGTCTAAAATGTGGGTCTCTAACATTATTCCCAGTGCAAATCAAATTGGAATGTGCCAAAATTTCAGGGAACTTCTATTTCCATATCCCATTTCATCTTTGTTCACATATTTAATAATATTTTATTTTATTATTGTTTGTACCCTTTATGGCA